CTGGATCAGGTAATAAAAAATGTACCAGTTTGTCCTATCAAAAGCAATGAACAAAGTTTAAACCCCTTTCAACCAATTTACTTATTGGAAGTTCCCCAGTAGTTTATTGGACATGTTTCCTTATAAAGGTTTTTTCCCACAGATCATTTATTTTACATTGGCTCCACAAAGCGATTATGCAGTCTAAAGATAGACTGAAGGAAAGCAGCAGATTCTTGTAAGATGACTTGAAATTTGTTGCTCCTGATACAAGTCCATTATCATTTTAATAATACTTGAAATATGCAACGAACAACAATCTCAGCAAATGACACTAAAAATTCTCATGGTTCTTGTGCATCAGTGAGACTCCAGGTGAGTCTTTGTGTTTATTGCCTTCTTTCTTCATGGACTTCCTAAGAATAAGAGCAGCCTTTGGCTTATTTACTGAGCTAATTGGTGGGATCCAGTTAGTCACAGGACAGTGGAACTCAAGAGACCTGGCATGCCTTTAAGGACAACCTCATTGGAGCACAAAACAGTAGTCCATACAAATGCACAGGAAAATGAGTAGACATGTAAGGAGAGCAGTGTGGAGGGAGCTCATGACTTGAGTGTCAATGCAGAAGACTCAATACAGGATGTAGAAGTGAGGACAAGCTTGCTCAAGGATATAAAAATGCTGCCTGCATATGTAGAGATGGTATTAAGAAAGCCAACATTCCCCTTAGAGTAGAGTTGAAGAAGGGACATCAAAAGCAACAAGAAGAACTTCCAGCACTGCATCAGCAGTTAAATAAGAAAAAAGAGAAATGGGGGAAATACAGGCTTGCTGCTGACTGTGACAGGTGATTTAGTGACAGTGAATATGGACAAGGCTGAGGCACTTGGTGCTTTATTTGCCTTGGTCTTCGCCAGCAGGGTCTTCTAGGCCTTTGTACCCATAGACGGGACTCAAAGTGGAGGGTAACTATCAATAGTGGAAGAGGATTGGGTGAGGGATCTCTTTTGGATATGGAGAAGCCATCTTCACATGCTGTTGGGTATAGGGTGCAAGTCTTCTAAAATTAGGACTTGGAAAAAGAATAAGAAAGCCAGTGAAGTAAATGTTTGGGATGAATGTGAATGGTTGTTCATAAAGTTACTTCAAAATTTTCAATACAGAGTGTCTTCCATTTGCCTTGTCAACAGTGGTTTTGAAAGTAATATCACTTGCTCTTAATGAAGCTGGACAATTATGAAGTCATGCACTGCTGTCTGCTGCTTCTGAATTCCTGAAAAATGCGGTTAGTAATACAGCAGGTTGCAAACCAAATTTTCTCGTAAGAATTAGCATAATGGATGGGAGCAAATACCTTTTGATACTTCAGAAGTGCGAACAGTTGAAATAGGCAGGGACAAGTAAAGAAGAAATGAAGGATAGGGAGGCCGAAGCAAGATCATTAGGACTATTAAACAGTAGAGATACTGGCTTTCTGGAGTGGATTGCAGTTTTTACAGATCTCAGCTTTTTAATTTGTGAGAGTAAGTGCACAATCCTTTCCCTGTTATTCTGCCCTTCATCCTTGATTGGTTTAGATTAACCTGAAGATGATGATGACAGTGATGAAAATGTAACTTAAGGAGGCAGCGAGGAAGCTGGTAAGATTTATATCATCTATACTGTCACTGTGTTTGGAAATAAAACATTTAAGTCCCTGGGTGCATCATCTCTTCTTATCTTAGTACTTCTAGGAAAAATGGTTTTACCATCCATCAAACTCAGGTGCTTATCTGTGAGACTGATGATGGCTAACAGAGCAGAGTGTGAAACACTCAGCAATGTAAATTTGACACAATGGTTAAAGAAGCAACAGACAGACAGGTGTTCCTGTGTTTGCCCCTTTTATCTGAGTGATCTATATAAAGTTTCTCTAGATATCATAGCTGATAAATATTTCAAATTAGGATTAGGTATGGGTCCAGAGGAAAACCTGACTGATCTGCCACAAAAGGTTAGAGTTTGTTAATGCTTTTCTGGACTCATCATGAAATGAGTTTATGCATTTCAATCTGTGCTTAAAATTGTGACGAGCATTCCAGTGAGATGATGAAACAAGTGTGATGCTGCTGCAGACTTATTCCTAAAAATTCTATGGTATCTTTGGCCATCAATATTGGTCTCTGACTACATCTGTTGTATGAAGGACTGGCTGAGTTGAATTTGTATTCTGAATAGACCCCATATCCCTCACTTCCCCCCACCAGCAGAAAAAGATCAGCTTTGTGTTTACTGATTTTCTTACCACATTCCCAGATGATTCTTGGTAATGGATGTGTATGCGGTCCAGCTTAAGGAGTGCGTCATTATGTTCCAAGAACAGATTGCTTTAATAAGGGAACGTAATGCAATTTGAAACAAATTCCCTGATGCGTGGAGTACTGTAGTGTCTCATCTAATGCATGACTTTATATTTGCAAAGGAACCAGATTGTTCCTTCTACATCCAAAGATGATAACTGTGGGAGTGGTGTAAGACACAGTGTTTTAGTTCCGTACTTTGGTGTGTGTGCCCATCTCAGCTTCCTGCAATACCACTCTTGGAAAGACCAAACAATGAGCGGTAGTGTGCAGCAACTCGCCGCATGGGTTTTGGTTTCCTTTCTTGATGAGGTTCTTAGTAAGGACTTCAGCTATTTATTACTATTCCTTCTCTACTGGGATTATATGTTCAGGAAAAGCCACTTTGTGTTATTGTCACCTCCAGCCCTTTGATACTGAGCGATCATTCTACCCACGTGCAAGAAATCTTGCTCAAGAGATGTTCAAAATGTTTTTAATACATAAAAAACGTGGTGGTTTGGGTTTGGTTTTTTTTTTTCCCCAATGCAGCTGACAAACCTTTATCATGTCTCATCTTCTTGAGCAGGCATTCCACTTGTTTTAAATTATGAAGTTTGTTAAGAAGTGGTTTGTTGTTTGTCACTCTGAAATTTATGTTTTTTCACATTCTGTAATAGTGGTAATTCTTCAGAAGTGTGCTATAAGGGGAGCTGTCTCAGGGAGGCTTCCAGACCTAGTTCATGCTTTGGCCAGATTGTTCTTCAGTTACTCTTTGGTAAGATTTCAGTGCCTGACATCCTGTCAAAAGTTCTTGCGTGGAAGGTAACCCAAGTTGATCGGAGGTGGTCAGTTGAAGAAGAAAATTATTAACTGTTTTCTAGGGGAGTCTTTCAAAGCAAAAGATATTAATAAGGTTATATTTCTGTTTCCTGTGACCTTCTCCTTCTCCCTACTCTTTCTAGACAGTTGACCTCACTGCTGTCAAATTTGACATAGATTTAATTTGAAAAATATACACAGTCTGCATTGGCTTGTTATTTACATATTGAGACAAATGACATTGTTGATAAAACAGCATTTTCCTGTGCCATAAGGCATACTTATACGGTGAAGTGTTAGAAGAAAAGAAGGCTTTCATTTGTTGTCATTTTCAAGCTTTCTAGGGGCTTGGCCTTGTATTTTAATATTTATTTCATATTTCTGCATACAAGTCCTATTTTAATAGGTTTTAATGCTCTCGTGTAATACGTTCTTGTCTTGTCTTATTGCACTCACTAGAAGTGTGCTGTCTGATAGTGCAGTGTTGCTTGATCGCTGCTGATCTATTTCTCATTTTTAGGAAAGTCACCTAAGATGTCACTAAAAGTATGATATTTAAAAGATATTCAACACTGCTTTTATTTCATGTTATGCCAGGTTATGGATTAATTTTATGATTTACTTGAAGGCTCGAATCTGTTCTTTCAGACTGGTAAGCTGAATTAAGGTTGTATAGCAGTAATGCACACTCTTGCTGTCAGAAGCATCTGTTGTTTGTGGGTTTTCTTTGTTTTTAAGAGAAACGTTTGGTAGTAGCATTAATACAGAAACATTTCATAGCTGATGGCAATGATTGTCAGAGCAGGTTTCCTCGTGGCATGCCCATGTTGACTTCCAGCTGCAGAAAACTGTAAGAGTTTAATACAGTTCTATTAAACAGACAGAATCTTCATTGGTCTGCCTTTTGAAGTATTATGTTGACGTATCTATGTCTATCGTTTATTGTTAATTTTAAAATGGTTGTACTCTTGAATCACTCTTAAACCCCATGTGTGCACAGCTGCTTATTGGGCCATGTAGCCCAATTCTGCACTTCATGCAAAAGTGCTACAGGAGAACATTTTGAATGGAGACTCTCAAAGCGAATTTGTAATTTCACAGCCTTTAAGTATTTCACAACTCCTTACAGTTTGTTATTAATGTAGACAGATGTTTGCAGTCAATTCAGTTGTAAATACTTACAAATACATATATACAGAGAGAGAGAGGGAGAGAGAGTCTAAACCAGCGTTTGTTTATATATTTAGAGTATAAAACAATGTCTGCACTTCTGAAGCTGATATAACATGTTATAAAAAAAAAGTGTACTCAAGTGTACATAGTTAATATATTTTTGTATAATGCTTCTGTTAGTATTCACATGGCCAGCCCATATGAATACTAACAGAAGGGTAAATTCCTTAGTCTACAAGAGTGAAGTGTTACTGCAACATGTTAAAAATTACATAGTAGAAGACATAGAATTTCCTCCTGAGCATTATAAAGAAAACTTAATTTTTTCTTATTCCACAAATTATTCTTTTCCACAAATGTTAAATAGGGTATTAATTTCTCTGAAACCTTTTACGTGTTTAATTTAGCCTTAAGAGATAAAAGATACATCTACCTACATGGCTTTTAAGTGTCCCATGGCTTTTTCAGTATCGCAAGCAGGTTTAGACAGTTACCGGTCTATAGCAGACTTGTGTCCTTTGCTGCCTATGCAGTGTGATACCACTGTGTTAGATGCAGTGAGTCTGTCAGATGCTCCTTTGGGCACTGTATAGCAGAGGACAGAATAGAGTACTGTTTGCAGGAGTGATGAAAGCAAGCTAAAATTAAAATATTACAGCATTTTGATGTTTAAGAAAATCATGTAGCTGTATTCCAATTTTCAGAGCAGTGGAAAGAGTTCTGTGTTGGAAAGTCTTGTGGGGAGGGATCTGCTCCCACGAGGTACTGGAGTTGTCACCCGGAGACCCCTTATTCTGCAGCTGGTGCATGTTTCCCCAGAGGATGGTCGGAAAACAGCTGGAGATGAAAATGGTAAGTGTGATCCAAGAGTGTGTTTTTCCTGGTTGGAAAGAGACTTTTAATCTCTCTTGTTCATTTGACTGACAGATCAGTTGTTGTAATCTTAAAACTTGAGTGTGATTTTAAAAATTGATTTGGAAAAAAACACAGCTGTTGTCATATCTGTTCTGTCCATTTAGCAAATGCCATGAAGTCAAAGTCTTTTGGATATTCAAAATATCTTTAATGTTTTAAGCTTTCCTTTTTCTTCTTAGGAAACACTTGAGAAAAGAAGGCCAAAGCAAGCATTTTAGTTATGATAATGGTTGTCTGGAGCGTAGAGAACATGTTTTTCTTGTGTGTGTTTTTCTTCCTCTCTTTTGCTGTATAAATAATTTTTTTCCTTGAGAGGATGAGTATGTGACTTTTTAGAAGGAGGTTAGGAAATAGTTACATTCTGAATAGAGTGGGAAAAGGAGAAATGAAAACAAACTTTTAGTAGATACAAACAGAATTTAATAGAAACATTCTGTAGCTTACAGATGCTACCTTGCTGGACTGCACTGAGAGATTCTAAGCACATCAGGAACAACACTTTAAATGTTCTGAAGCTGTCTAGTTTGAAGCTTGTGTCTTCTGTAGTGTTTCTATATTATCCTTGAGCAGATCGAGAAAGTAATCTCAGTTGTTCCTTGGGAGTTTAAATGCTCATTCTATACTAACTAGTGCTCTTGATCTTACAAAAGAATAGCAGGGGCATATCCACCTTCTTCTGATCATAACATAGATCTTAGCTTTTTGACGTAGACAGTAAAAAGTACACAGGCTTTTGATGGTGTGATAAACTTGGGCATATAATTATTAATTCTCATTGTGTTCAAATTTTTTGGAATTTATTTCTAGCAATAGTAAGTCAAGGTATCAGAAGTTCTTTACAGTGTTTGTTTTCACGTCATATTTATAGCCTTTGCTTGCTGTTTTAATGTCATATTTATAGCCTTTGGTTGCTGAAGAACAGCTACTAATATTGTGGAGTTTAAAAGGTTTAAGTTCCAATCTTCATTATTGCTGCAAGCAGAGAACACAATTCATGTTTGTAACAATTAAGAACTTCTAGTGTGCTGGATTATGAGAGGTTGTAGGACAGTTCAGGTTGGAAATGATCTCAGGAGGTCTTTAGTCCAACCTCCTCAAAAAAAGGGCCAGCTCTGAACTTAAGGCCAGAGCTTTATCCAGTTGGGTCTTGAAAACCTCCAAGGGTGGAGAATTCAGAGAGTCTCTAGGCAACTCTTTAGAAATGGCACATTTGATCTCTTTAAATGTCATTTTATGTTACTTCTACTGTGCAGTATATAGTTTCTAGTACTTTTCAGAATGCTTTGATTCTGAGTTGCAGGATAAAATATGATTTGAGGGCTGGAGCATGTCTCCTACAAAGACAGGCTGAGAGAGTTGGGGTTGTTCAGCCTGGAGAAGAGAAGGCTCCAGGGAGACCTTACAGCAGTCTTCCAGTACCTGAAGGGGGCCTACAAGAAAGCTGGAAAGGGGCTTTTTACAAGGGCATGTAGTGACAAAGGGTAATGGCTTTAAACTGAAAGAGGCTAAATTTAGATTAGACATAAGGAAGAAATTCTTTGCTGTGAGGGTGGTGAGGCACTGGAACGGGTTGCCCAGAGAAGTTGTGGATGCCCCATCCTGGAAGTGTTCAAGACCGGGTTGGATGGGGCTTTGAGCAACTGGGTCTGGTGAAAGGTGTCCCTGTCCATGGCAGGGGGGTTGGAACTAGATGATCTTTATGGTCCCTTCCAACCCAAACCATTCTATAATTCTATGATTTTGTTCTGCTCTGCAACTTTACAGGTATAGAAGATGGTTTTGTAATTAGAGTATTCTGAGTCAAGGCAGAACCTTTCTGTTGTAGGTTGCATTTGATTTGGGGATTCAGATTTTAAATTTAAAATGGCATAATGATGATATTGCATAAGGATGTTGGGCTAAATTAATATTTGTAAGGCCCATTTAGATCTTTGGGAAAAAATCAATATGTAAGATTTACATTTACAATCTCTTCTTGATGTTCCTTTGAGAGAGATGTGGGCTTGTTTGGTAAGAACAGACAAACCTTTATGACTTACCAGTTACATCTGAAATGCCTCTCTCCAAAATTGAGGCAAATCACAGTCTAAATGGCTTTGTCACTGATCTGGTTTAGCATATGTGCAGATTGTGGTGTAACATCAGAGAAGATGGGAAGAAGTATCTTGGAAGGAAAAAAAGACAGCAACCTCTTATCCTAACTATGTTGTCTGACATTGTAGTAAGTCACTATACTACTACAGGTCATATTTTTGTTTGTTAGTGAGGTGGATGTTGAAGTAGGGTTGAATGTGTTTGGGATTTCCCAGAGGGAAACCTATCCATAGTCTTGCAGAAAAGGATTTTCCCCAGATGAGGGGTTCCTTTACAAATTGAATATTGGACAAGAGTATATCAGTCTCTACATGCTGCTTTCTTTATGTGCTGGTAATGAACTTTCTGTGTACACAGATACTTTTATGCAACTGCCTCTGTTTTGTGATTTCTGTTTTGTGATTTGTCACCTTTATCCATCCTAATGCTTACTCTAGATATGTACTAGTATTACATATAAATACATTCATTTAAAAATAGCACTAGTCTGTGGTTCTTATAAGCACAAATTTTACCTCTCAGTGTTTGCATCCAGAAAGCTTCCATGTTTTTAACACAAAGCACTTTGGATTGCTGTGGTATTCATTTAAGCATAGACAATTGCCTTGTCTTTATGACTATGAAGGAAAAAATTGTTTATCTCCAATAGCTTAATTTTGACATCCCCTGATGCATGTGAAGTGCCGAAGAATAACAGTTCGTATCAATTTAGTGTTTTGTTTGGTTGGTTTGGGGTTTTTTTTGGTTTCGTTTTCTGGATTTTTTTTTTTAATTTTTTATTTGATTCTTGGGAGCACATCAGGAAAGATTGTTGAGAAAGAATTGCAGCCAGTCATTTGAACTAGTGCCTGATTTTCTAACATGGCGACATTAAAGATCATCTCTGCTGTTCCTCAAGGTCACTGATGAGCTATGTGATACCCTTGTATGGTGTTCACTGCAATAAATAAAAATAGTCAGAAAATAGTAGAAAGATGAATTTTCCATTAAATATCAAGTGCTGTGTTTTCTTAACAAGATATTTCAGACTGATACATGTATTCTAGAGAGATGTGTGTGGTTGGGTGCGAAGGAAATGTTCTCATTATGTTTTTGCTGTTTATTGTTAGCCTCTAGTGATTCAGCACATATGGTGTGTTTGATGTGTTGATACCACACTGTGGTGTTCTCCTATCAAATTGCAAGAGAAGCAGTGTTGATGAGAGAACCAGGTCTGATCTTGTGAATTACTAAGTTGGTCTTGTAGCTAAGACCTATTATGGTAGCTTATCCATTTGTTAGGCAATGGAAAAGAGGAGGGAATATATAAATGGTCCATTAGTAAGTTTGTAGGTTCTTTTTTTTTTTTTGTCCAAGATAGGAAGCTGAACATTGTTCAAATTCTGAGCAGATAGAATTGTTATGGAGCACAGGAATAATTAATACAGATCTGCTGCTTGCTAAATCAACACTGTTTTGTCAGCTTTTTGCTCTCTACTTCAAATAGGAATCTGTTACCCGTAGCTCCCAAACAGTGTGGACCGCTGCATTGTACTTAGCTTGGTAGAAGCACGGGAGAAAAAGCTTTTACTCAGAAGAGCTTACCATCTAGTTAGCATCAAGGATGGAAAAAAGGTACAATAAACAGAAGGGATTGGAAGATGTGCAGATGTTTTTTTCACAAGTTGGATTTTTTTTTTTTTTTTTTTTAAATTTAGAGAAGGAGAGCTAGGAAAGGATGAGGTGATGGGGGGAAAAAGAGTTCAGATGGTAGTCTGCTGGCTCCAAGAGCCGTGAAGGTATGAGAACTAGAAAGCTAGGGAAACAGGTAAGATTCTTCATACTTTGCTGATTTTTGGCCTTTTTAGTATTTAGGAAGTTCTCGTTGCCATGCTGCAAGAAATCCTCTACGGTGGTAGCCTTTTATGACTCTGAACAGCATCTTTTACTACTTTAGGAAGGGAGAAGAGATACATGAATAACTGAAGCCAGTTAGCATTATACTGTATTGCTGTATTTGAGCTTCTTAAAGGAGCTTTGCAGTGTAGGAGATAACGAGTAACAGTTTGGTGGAGGACAGTCCTGAGAAAAAAATACCATAATCATGTCTAGTTTTCCAGTATATTAATTCAAGTTTTCAGGTCTCTCTCCAAGATATGCAAAGCCAGAAAAACAAACACACTGTTGCTTTATTCAGGAGATGGTTTTTTGAAAGGATCTGTTTGTTCTTGATAGCTGCTATTTTAATATTCTTTCTTATAATCTGTAGTGCTTAATTTTACAATGACGAAAATGTCGTTTCTGCACACTTTTATCTAGCATTGAATCATGAATGTAATCAGCTTATTAATTTACCTGAAAGTTTTGCCCAAAAAGCTTCCACAAAGTAACATAACCAGGGGAAAACTGATTTACCAGTGAAACTAGTGATAAAAAAAAAATGTTCTACATGTAAATCAGAAGATGGGGTTGTTGAATGTAGGCTAATTAAAATATTTTCTCCTTGCCTTGAGCATCCTTGCATTCTGAGTAATGTGAATCCTTTCTAAAAACTCCTTTGTATTAAATTAGAGCTATTGGGAAAATTTTCTAAAATATTAAAGGGGTGTCAGTACAGGCTTTCTCAGAAGAGTGGGGCAAGAGTTTCCCCGCTGTATAAAATGAAACTTCTGAAAGCTTATAGTTGAACCAGATGAGATTTTTGGTACACCTCAGGAGACCGCATTTATTCCTTAACTTTTTTTCTTCCTTTTTTTTTGTGCACCAAGGCTGAGGTTAAGACTAAGCCATTTATCATGGCCTCAATCTTCTCTTGTGTTATATATAGCAAAGCAAACTTGCAGTTTGTTAAAGCTTAAAAAATTTTCCAACTCCTTTGATCCGTAGATGTTAACAAGTTAAAATGCAATGCTTCTGACTAGAATGCATCTTTTTTTATATGTATTTTAAAAAGTTAATAGATAATGTTAAACCAAAACGTTTCTTTATACGTAGAACTAAGCCTAGTACCTAGCTGCAATTTCCTACGCCACCACAAACCCACTAATTTAAGACTAAACCAGTGTGTACTAGGAGGACATCATCTCCCTAGGAGGGACATAACAGGAGAGTTCTTGGTCCATATCTTTCAAATGTTATGGTTGTAGTATCTTGCTATATCTCTTTTTTTTCCTGGCTTTATGCCTGTCTTTACTTTCTCATTGAATTTTTAAGAGGGGATGAGCAATATGATCTTGAAGACACTGTAGTTTCTTCCTGTATGCACATTTTGCTTTATTTCCTCTGAACTATTAATAACCTAGACCTGTTTAATAACCTGGAATTAATAATTATTAATTAATTAATTAATTAATTAATTTTGCACTTATTTTGGAGACTGGTATGTAATTTTGCCTATTTACCAACCAAGACAAACAAAAGCTGCTTCCTAACAATGGTTTCTTCATAGCTCATGTGCCTGCAGAACAGTAAGGATAACAGGAGTTTGTTTTTTAAATTTTTTTTCCTTAATGGATCCAGTCCATCTAAATCATCAGATTTCCATTGATGATAAACCTTTTACTTACCCACCTGAGCAAGACATTAAAATAACTCCCCAGATGTACTGGGCTTTCCAAACCGACGAATTGGTTGTTGCTGTGCTACTTGCATTTTGTGCCAAACAGGCATGTGCCAAAAATGTCTTCACCAGTTTGTTTTGATTCTTGCACTTCCAGGGCACTGTACTGGCATCACATAAAAATATAGAGTTGTAAATTCATCAGCCCTTCGGTAAAGTTTTTTTTTGTAATGGGATTTCCATAAATACTTTGAGAAAATTAAAAGTTTAGAAGGGTGATAGCTGGTGGTGTCTCTTCTTAAATCTGTCTCAGAACTGCTGTAACTGTTTTTTTAATTGAGAATTAAAATGATTGATGTAAGACCTCAGGTTTCTTTCCCATACAGTAATATTACTTCCAGTGACATGAAAAATGTTTCCTTACTCTTTCTCGTTCTTGCCATGAGTAAATGATGAGAAACATATTCACAAAAAACCTTCAGCTTTGCAGAACCTAATGGTGCTGTTTTCTGTGCTCAGATAAAAATATCATGAGTGGTTGGAATTAGATGAACAGCAATAATAAAGTCATCATCAGATAAATTTTGTTGTATAAAATACCTGATTAATATGCATCATGTATCAGTCTTTAGTTAAGATCTTATTTCTGTGCATATTGTTAATATGTTACACATTCTCATCAATAGTAGAATAGCATGCACATCTGTTTGCATGCATTTGTGATCTTTGTAATACAGTCTGATACTGAAAGTTAATTAAATGCTATATTAAATATGATAAAAAATTTTAAACATCATTCAATGCTGTTTCTCTTTAACTGCAGACCCTGCTACATGGAAAAATCCAAGACACCTTTCTAAAGGTTGCCTTTATCCACTTGCTTTTTTCTCCCTACGCATAAAGTGCATGCTTATATACACTAAACCACATACATTTCATGCCACTTTATTGTTGATTACACTTTTACTTTTACACCTTGGCTACTGTGTTGATTGATTATTTTGCTGAGTCACGTGATCTGGTTGATTTTTAGTTTTCTGACCTTGTTGCATTAGAATGAGATGATTTTTGCTTTTCTTCTGTGCCATTGCTGCTTCATAGAATTTCCTGCACTTTTAATTCCCAAATCCTTTAAAAAAGCTTTATTGATCAGTATCCTGAAATTCAACTTGAGCAGAAAAAATGTTTTGAAAGATGACTCGATTGTAGGTAAGCAGTGTATTTGCCAAATGGCCAGATTTCTTGTAGACACTACTTCTAGAGCAGATTTCTGTATCAGGGAGCAGAGGGGAAATGACCACAAACTAAAAATTTGAAATGGAAGTTATCACCAATACTTGGAAACATAGTTGTGGAAGTGTGAGTATCTCGCAGTGTGACTCAAACTGTGCTACGAATCAGGAATTGACAAAACCTCCTTTGTTGTTTCTTGGGACTGCTCTTGAGTAGCCCCCAAGTAATTCCAGACATTAGTGGTGACTGACAAGAGTTAAGATGTTTTGTCCTTGACAGATTTGGGAAGAGACGTGTTCTTCTAAGACTTCATTGTTATGCAGAATCCTTATGTATTTTCTGTTTGCTTGGTTTTGATCCTACAGGTTTTTCTAACTTTTTCTTTCAGCTGTAATTTGATCTCACTTGCATGGTAAAAGAAAAGACGCTAAAAGCTGGTATTTTTTTTCAGGTTTTTTAAGCTATTGCTAATAATTCTTTTGTTTTCTGTTGCAAGTTGATATTTAATGGACTAGATAATTTCTGAAAAATGGTAGGATAGCTGATTGGCTCAGTCACAATTAAGAGGGTGGACCTTGTGTAAGAGAGGCAAATTAAAGAGAGTAATGAGATGCAATGTTTGAATAAGAAGAATCATAAATGTATTGGTACTGAACTATTTAAAATCTAACAGTAGAAAGCAGACTAATTTTTCTCTTGCTGCTTGAAAAGAAAAAACACATTATAATTTTCAACAAACAGGCTCTCAGAAAAATGTCATTGAAACAGCTGCTGCCTCTTCCTCATGTATCAATTCTTTGTTTTCAGAGATAGATGCTGAAGAATGGGGTAAATTTCTTCACACCAAAAATAAGGTATGTTTACTCTGATGATGGAATGGCAGTGTCATAAATACGGTATCATGTATCTATATACACTTAATTTTATGTCTCTTCCCTTGACTTTCCCAAAAAGATTATTCTACCTGCTATACTATATGCCAGAGTATGGAGGATTTTCTGTTTTGCTTTTTATGAGTAGAAAACTTCTGAAAACATTCTTTTAAATTCAAGACAAAGTTTATCAGTGGTTCTGTTGCATGGGTCATTGATTCTGCTGAGTTATTTATCGTAATCTTTTTTGTGTTATTTTATTGATTTTTCTTTTTTGTGCATTAGCGGAATTAGAAGGGACTTTGCAAAGACAAGGAAATATATAATTGTAAGTCATTTCAGTCTACTGAAGAACTGGCTACTTCAGAGATTTATTAGAAAGCTATGAAAAGGAAGGAAGAGCCTAATGCACATCAGGGGGGAAAAGCAGAAACTGAGATGACCTAGGACTTCTATAAGAGAGTCAAAGCTTAATTTTTTGCTTGCAGAAAGTCATCTTTTTGTTGGCAGATGAATTATTTAAGTTTTTATTACTTTAAACTGATTTCCTCACCTCCTAGGCAGCACCAGAAATTGAAGGAAATCTAGAGAGGAATGCAGAGGGAACCTGTGCAAGGGTAGCTCTGTGCTAACTTATTTTGGATTGGTGGAAGGAGAATAGTTTTGACAAGAGTGGAAAAAATTCTGTCCTTGTTATTCATCCACTTAGAGATGAGAATAGGTTCAGGGTACATGTTGTTTATTAACTGCAAAGGAATTAAGTGTTTGAAATTCTCTTTAGGTGAAGACTATTTTTTACCTTGTTGATGGGGTAATAAGTGCTAATAACTGCCGTCTCACAGTATTAATAGATTAAATGCCAAGATTCCAGTTTCTGTAATTTTTAGCATTGATGATTGCTGTTAGCATTAGCTTAAGGGCTAATAATAGTACTTACTTTTTCTCACCTTCTGTATAGTTACTTACAGTTTTGCACTGTCTCTTGAAGAAGAGCATTTTTTATTAATTAGGTAATTGGATGCTGTCTTTTGATTTTTAAACATTTTTTTCTGTACTTCAGATCTATACAGATTTTGATGAAATTCGTCAGGAAATAGAAAATGAAACAGAGAGGATTTCAGGAAATAATAAGGTAAATGTTGCACTGTCCATCTTTGTCTTGGTATAGATTCTCTTGCTGCTTGAACCTTTCTTAAACAGTTTTGGCAGCTAGAAGTGAAAAGCATTGAATTAGTCTGATGAAGAACACGGTAATGCTGCTTTCTATCTTGAGATTTTTTTTCACTGTGTTCATGAGAAAAATTACTTCAGCTAAAAGAAAATGCAGAGTTGCTGTTGCTGTACTTCAAAACATCCGTAATAATAGTGCAAAAAATAAACTTTGAGTTGAACTTGCTTCCATTGTCCACATACATGGCTTTATGTGTAATTATAAAATTGAACATTCTATTCTTGCTTATCTATGTAATCACTGAAATATATAAGCTTTTATACATTGTATTGAGAGGGACAACAGGGCTGTTTCCAAAGACAAAGAACCTGGTTGACATATGCGACTGGCTTTTTTTCCTCACCATGTAGTCGTAAGGTGTATGATGGAAGAAGGCTTTTCTAGTATGAAGCTACAGCTTTTGACTTTCTAAAGGGTGCATTTAAATATTTCAGTGCAGTGATTACTTTTTATTATTAACCTATTTCTAGGGGATCAGTCCTGAACCTATTCATCTTAAGATTTTTTCATCTAATGTTGTAAATCTGACTCTTGTGGATTTACCTGGAATGACAAAGGTAAGATGCAGAATGCTTCTTTTCTGACTCTCTGTGAACAGTGCATTTTGAAAGAAGGAGTGTATGTTCACTCTTTGGCATTATTTTGTATTGTTAGATAAACAGCTTTCCTCAGGTTAAGTAGCTGGTTATATGAATTTTAGATGCCACCATCTTATGGTGTAAGATTTGGGTTTCTGGTGCTCTTTGCTGTTGTAAGAGGTAGATTTGCTTAAGTTCTTTCTCTTCCTATACACAACTGAGGGATTGGAAGCATTGTGTGGGCTGCATGTTATTCTCATAGAAGAGATAGCACTCAAAGTTTCAAAGTTGTAGCTGCAGGTAGATCATAGAATCATTTAGGTTGGAAACGATCTTTAAGATCATCAAGTCCGACTGCTAACCTAACACTGCCAAGTCCACTACTAAGCCATGTCCCTAAGCACCACATCTACCAGTCTTTTAAATACCTCCAGAGATGGGGACTCAATCACTCCCCTGGGTAGCCTGGTCCAATACCTGACAACCCTTTTGGTGCCTAAGTGTTTCCTAATTCAATCTAAACCTCCCCTGGCACAACTTGAGGCCATTTCTTCTCATCCTGTCGTGTGTTACTTGGGAGAAGAGACCAACACCCACCTCACTACAACCTCCTGTCAGGCAGTTGTAGAGAGCGAGGTCTCCCCTTGGCCTCTTTTTCTTCAGGCTAAAGAATCCCAGTTCCATCAGCTGCTCCTCATAAGACTTGCACTCTAGACCCTTCACCAGCTTCATTGGCCTTCTCTGGACACGCTCCAGCATCTCAATGTCTTTCCTGTAAATGATGGAAAGTGGCTTGTTGAGCACTTCTGCCAGCTCCTTCTGTACTCTTGGTACCCAATAGATTCCTAGTTAACAAGTTTGAAAATGTTTTCCCCATTGCTTCTCCAGAAGTTGCTACTTGTATTTTGTGTAAGAAGTTGTATAAAGTGAGGATACACTAGAAGAAACATTCAGGTCCTGTTTGTATTTTATACTGAATAATTTTCTGTGGCACGAAGATGACAAGGTGATTTCTTCCCCTGACTATGCACACATACAAACCCCACTCTGCCAGTTGTGCAGGTGGTTCTTGAATACCAAGTCTTCTTGACAACAGTATCAAATAATTTGAATTGATTCTTATTTCTATAAGAATGTTTTTGATTTTTATACCCATCAAGATCTTCCTTTTCTTTCCTGTTTGTTTGTGAAGGGGGAAGGAAAGGGCTGGAAAACTTTATCTTATACCGTGGTATAGGTATGAACTTTCAATGAGTGATCTCATGGAGGCATAAATATACAATTTTGAACAGTTCTACGTTGTTTTTTCCTCTAGGTGCCTGTTGGTGATCAGCCTAAGGACATTGAACTTCAAATAAGAGAGCTAATCCTTCAATTCATCAGCAACCCGAATTCAATTATTCTGGCAGTCACAGCTGCTAACACAGACATGGCCACTTCAGAAGCACTTAAAATTGCACGGGAGGTGGATCCAGATGGTAAGCAGCAAGAAAAAATGGATCCTGTAATTCAACTTCATTTTTTAAATTAAATCCTAAAATAAAACTGAAGTCGTTTGGGCAAAAAGTAGTAAGAAAAGCAGATGTCCCTGCATTTCCTAGAAAATACAATTGTTATATTTGCTTGAAGACTTCCTGCTGCAGTCTGTGCAACTCAGAGAATGCTGTGATGAATTTGTATCTAACAGATTTCTGGCTTATGAACAGGCCAATTAACTATTTTAGTAGTCATAGGAGCCATTTCTGTTTCCAGAGCAGCAAAATGGCATTACAGAATGTTGGAGGGTTTGAGATTTTCAGCAGTTTACAGTGGTCTGTTAGGATGACTTCATGCTTTATTGTCCAATGTTGTGCTTGTAGTAGAGAAAATATGCCATCCTGCAGCTAGTAATTGACTGTCTAGCTGTTAGTTTAGTGACTTTTAGCAAGAATAAAATGAATGTATACTGTCAGTATCGATTTTGGTGCCCTGCGTTTATGTGACTGAACTGATTTCATTTTATCTAAAAGAGGATTATAATTTTATATTTATCTAATGACTTTGAAACAGATACGAAGCTACTGGGTGCCTGCTTCCTGTTTATGGAAAGTGCTATTTGTACCATTGACTAAAAAATGGCACTGTGTGATTTGAAAGAATATGGAAGAGTATACCTGGAAAACAGGTATACTAAAATTAGCCTAAAATTAAGTGTTGGTATGCTTTACCATCAATTTTTTCTTTCCGTAAAGTGTAACATTTCTTGATCATTTTCAAACTCCAAGTCTACTTTGGCCTGTCTGCCTAAGCCTTAATGGGTTCCAGAGACATGTAACCTCGAGGGAGAACCTCCTCTGGCAATCTTCTCAGTCAAATTGTCCTGGTTCAAGGCAGCAGACCCTTTCCTTTTAATTTACCCCTGTAACAATGATCAGCTGTGACTTTTAGATCACTTGCCAAAACTCTAAGCCTTAACAGTCTGGAGTGGCAGCTCATGTTGCAGGTTCTGTAGGAATAATGGCATGTAATGAGACCTTGAAGTAGGTATACTCTCTGACTTGCATTCATCTGAAAGTTTCGGGACCCAAGAACCTACTGATTTTGCTGAGGTAGTGGTTTATTTTTAGAGTCGAAAAGTGTGTCATATTTTAAAGAAAAGTTCTTGTCACATTGTTTTCAGGCCTAAGAGTCTGGGAAATATTAAGGTCCCAGAGAGGGACCTGTGTATGCTAGCCTGCCTGTTAAGATGTGCAATATTTACCTATTTAATGAATTTAGGTCACTTTTTCCTCCACAGTACCCAATACGAAGCTTAGTTTTAATTCAGAAAATATTGTCACATATGCAATAAAAATGTTTCATTAGCAAAATTAAATCCCCTAAAGCTTCTTCAGTGGATGGATTTCAAGCTGTTCAGTCTCTTGGGGCTTTCAGCTATGTATTTGATGCACTATGCTTCAGCAGCTTCTCCAGTGGGTAATGGTATTTCAAATATAGTTCCAAACAGATTGCCATTGCGTCTGGTCCTACATATATGCTAGAAATACGTTCAGTCCACTCATTGCAAGTCGCCTGCATGCCTAACTTAATCTTCTCCACAAGTGCTTAGTAATGCCTCTAACCTCAGTGTAGTATGTAGAAATGTTTGTTGTAATCCGTAATGACTATAATTTCAAATCGCGTGGTGCCTAAACCTTTTTCTTTAACCAGATCTGTGTGGGGAGCAGTACCTGTCAAATACTTTCTTATATTTCTATTAATAAGAGGCTCCAGATAGATTAATAAATGCTATTGCACTAGTCCTTGCTGGTTTGCAGCATTAAACTGTCTGAGGAACTTTTGGATTATGAGTTTTAGCTACCCTGATGAAGGCAAAGCATCCCTGTGAGTGAGTTTTCCTTTTGGTAGGTCGAAGAACCCTTGCTGTTATCACAAAGCTGGATCTCATGGATGCTGGCACTGATGCTATGGATGTGCTCATGGGAAGAGTGATTCCAGTCAAACTTGGTATCATTGGAGTAGTGAACAGGTCTGTTTGGGCACATTGATGCTATTTTTAAAACTGTGTTAATATGAAGTAATGCTTTTGGCTTTTTAAACCATGAATATGGTTTTAAGAATAAGGTGATGATGATGTTGAAATAAACTTCTGACTAAGCAAGCGAGAAGCTTGTTGCTCATTTTCAAAATCCTGCCTGTTTTTCTTCAAATCAGCCAACTGCTAACTTAGAAAGGAGTAGGGCCACTTCTAGAAGAACTGTAGTGTCACTTCTTCTTTCTGCTGTTTGGTTTTTTTTCAGCTTCAGGGATGCTTCTGGTCAACTGTTCACATTAGCACTGATCCAGTACAGATCTTGTATATATTTGTGCTAACTTAATATGGCTATAGTACTGTTCGCTTTATTTTTTGCATTAGCTAGGTTAAATCACATGTAGTTTTGATAAAAGCATAGTTATGTACAGCTGCCACCCATACTGATTTGTTGACTGTGCTGCATGGAACAACAAATAAAACCCTTTATTGTGTAAGGAAGATGAGTTATGTGTGTAAAGCAAAAAACAGCTGTTAGATGTTCTGTCCAGAAAAGCAGAAGTGTAAATTATTTTTACTTTGCATCTATTAACTAGTGTGTAACTGTGCCTTTTAACTTCAGGAGTCAGTTGGATATTAACAATAAGAAGAGTGTAGCTGATTCCATTCGCGATGAGTATGGTTTTCTTCAAAAGAAGTATCCTTCCCTAGCAAATCGAAATGGAACCAAGTATCTTGCTAGAACCCTGAACAGGTATTACATACTATGTAAGATAAAATAAATGTGTGCTTTTAAAGATACTTTCAGATGTAAATTGGTGTGTTAGAAATATGTGTCAACATTTATTTTTACCTTTCCTTTCTCTTTTGGCTCTGTGCAGTGATACATTAAGGTAAACTCTGGTACCTAATTCAATTTCTGAATTTACTGTGATTTTCCCAAGTAAATGTTTTCCTTTGGTGATTATTTTCTGTCTCTTCTCTGTTTTGATGGGGATGATAAAGCTGAAACTTTTCTTCCCTTCTAATGAGGGACTGTTTTCTATTTTTAGACTACTGATGCATCATATCAGAGATTGTTTGCCAGAACTGAAAACCAGAATCAATGTTTTAGCTGCTCAGTACCAGTCTCTACTAAACAGCTACGGGGAACCTGTTGAGGACAAAAGTGCCACTTTATTGCAGCTTATTACCAAATTTGCCACAGAATATTGTAACACTATTGAAGGAACAGCAAAATACATAGAGACTTCAGAGCTGTAAGTACCAAATGGTTTTCTAGAATATTGACTGAGCAGTTAGATCAACCCATTGGCTATTGCTGGCTTTCATTGGCAATTGTACTACACTAGAGCGTAACATACTCAAAAATGTTTGAATCCAAGTAACTGTAAAAAAAGTTTGCAATGAGAGCTTTTTTCTTGTTTGCTACTTCAGTTGTTATTTTCTTCTTTCAGATGTGGTGGAGCCAGAATCTGTTATATTTTTCACGAGACCTTTGGAAGAACTTTAGAATCTGTTGACCCACTGGGTGGCCTTAACACAATTGATATTCTGACTGCTATTAGAAATGCTACTGTGAGTGTTCTTCTGTATTTCTAAGTGTTGTTGCTATATATTGAAGATAAGGTTTCAACAAATTTGTGTTCCTTCAGTCCTGTGAACAATGATTGCAGCTGAATTCGTTAATACGAAGAGGCTGAATCCTTGCTTTTTGGTATTTTAAGTGGAATAATTACAGTATCCAAATTTGCAGCCATTATGCTGTATGAAATGAGTTTAAGGTGAATGCTTACATCTCATTACTGTTATTTATAGGCTGAAATAAAGCTCAGGCCCAGCTGTGGCAACTCTATGCTGAAGCTATTAGATACTATGGAAATGGTGATGGAAGACTGCCTCTGTATTTATTTTGCATTAAGCACTTCAGTTAGTTATGAAGACTTAGTCTGAGATGTATGGGCTAGGACACATTCAGATATTTTGATTTTATGTAAGGGACACAACTCTTGAATGGTTCAGTGTTTACATGACAGATTTGGTTTCTTGTGAATATGGGAATTGGTGTTGCTAAGAAAGAGCAGAGTAAGCTCACTTTTGCATTTTGCAGTGTATAGAATGTTCACTCCTTAGAGCTTGACTTTGGATGTCAAACACTGAAGTCTGCTGTTGGGTGTGGAGAGTCAGGTTTCTGCATGGTCAAGAATTACTCAAACTTGGAGTGCATTAGGTACTCTGCAGCAATGATCTGTGTGCATGCTCTTACCCTTCTGTAAATGTAAAATGTAAACCAGCATTTAGTAAGAGGAGAGATGTCTTGTTTTTATGTGATGTATCACATCTTTGTGTTTATAAAGCTCATTTAATTTAAGAAAAAAACTCCAGGTAAAAAACGTTTTATGTATAGCTAAGCATTGGTCTGTATGGCCATAAATGAGATTATCTCAAACACTGTAAATCAGTGACACTGTATTATGATTATACTTAACAGAAAACCCACCTACCTTGCGGTAAGAATGGTATGCCCAGGACTATCAAATGAATAATGGTAACTTTTCTGTGAAGTAAGGAAGAGAATGTCTTTGCCTTTATAATAAATTTCATTTAAACTTGGATCCGCAAATGTGAAAAGAATTGTTCATAGTTGCAAGCCTGGAGTGACATTAGTAGGTAGAAATTTTTAAGATTCTATAAGGATGCAGGTTAATCATTATTTAACACAGTTTGTCTAAAAGTAATAACTTTATATTTTATAGTTTTTGTATTTAAATATTCTTGTAACATATTTTATGATTAAGATTTGTCCTGAGTATTCTTTTGGGTGCAAGCACTGTGACCTGATTTGTTCTGGATTTCATCAGCTACTATTTCTTAGAAATGCATATTGGTTTAATACACAATTTAGCACTTTTTTCCCTCCTTTTGAACTAGGGTCCCCGTCCTGCCTTGTTTGTTCCTGAAGTTTCATTTGAATTGCTGGTGAAAAGGCAAATCAAACGTTTAGAAGAACCTAGCTTGCGCTGTGTGGAGCTGGTTCATGAAGAAATGCAGAGGATTATCCAGCATTGTAGTAATTACAGTACACAGGTAAACATGCAAGTTTAGAATTATGTTTGTAATTATTGGGCTTTTCACCCCCCTTTCCTAAAAAATTCTGGAAGTCTCATCCGTAAATTTTTGTTTTGTTTTTTAGGAATTATTGAGGTTTCCTAAATTGCACGATGCCATAGTTGAAGTAGTAACTTGTCTTCTGCGTAGAAGACTTCCTGTCACAAATGAAATGGTAATTTTCCACCTACTGTAATTTTTCTGGAAAAAGTGTGTGTTTTCTGGAGTCTTTCTTGATGCTTCTGTTTCCTCTGTAATGTCAGGAACCCAAGTTATTAAAGAAATCTTAATTTATATTTGTTAAATAGCTAGGTATTTAATAACTACACTGTTGGAAACTTCTATATTAGAAGATAGAGACATAAAAAACAAAGCAGTGGGGGGAACCCTCTTCAGTTTATTGTCCCCTATGTATCAATTTCCCAAGAAGAGTTGTACTAAAACTTGGATTTACCATCTCCTAATCTTTCTGATATAGGTAAATTTCCCTCCCTTGTAACAGAAACTATGCATTTACTATTGAGTTTGGGATGCATTGATGAAAATTAAATTAGTCCCTATTCTGTGTGTTTTGGAGATAAAATCAACACAAAATGTTGATTTGGCTTGTAATGCCCTTTAGCTAGTGAGAACTAAAACTTCATCTTCTAGTTTTGAGTAAATATGTTTTAATATAAAAGTCTGCTTTGGGCTGCTTATTGTGGAGGAAACAAAGTGTTTCAGTTATTGACTCTGCACAGGTTTGATGTGAAACGCAAAAACTGAGTGATCTCTCACTGGTTCAGATCTTGTATGTGGCTTGTGGCTGAAGGCTGACTGTATAGCTCACTTCTTTACGGTATAGCTTAAAACTCATCAATTTATTGAGTGTGTTTATTTCTTGCTGGAAAGGGGTTAGCTTGATGAAGCTAACAAGTTAAACTGATGTAATATCCAAACCAGCTGAAAATCTGAATGTATTGCAATGAATGAATGGATTCCCTTCTTGCCTTCTGGATCAGAACTTTAATGTCTTTGGGCAGTAATAACAGTCTTTTGCTATGGACAGTTAAACTGCGCTTTCTTGCACTATAGGTCATTGCTCTTCACTAGTATTAGATTTGCTCACTGAATTTTTGAACTGTGAATGACGTTGCATTGCAGGTTCATAATCTAGTGGCCATTGAGTTAGCTTATATCAATACGAAACATCCAGACTTTGCTGATGCCTGTGGTTTAATGAATAACAACATAGAGGTAAGAAAACACACTCTCTTAAAAAGTCTTTTGACTCCTTTAAGTGAGAGACTAAATAATTGTTAAAAGAACAAATGCTTCGATTTATTTCACTGAAGCACGGTTCTACATTTTGAAGTATAAAAATGTGATATATTACAAATATGTTGTATAGTCTTGTGATCTGTTGATTTGTTAGATTTATATTTCATACTACAGTCAGGAGCAGTGGTTGATATTTCACAGAAAACAATTCTGCCTGTATTTCTGTGTGGCAAATGAGATGGGCACCTAACTGAGTATTGGCTATTAAATGAAACTTTTGGAAGAGCAACTTTAAATAGATAGTTGTGAAATACACTTTAATGTTGAGTTAACTGCATTTTGTCTCTGACAGAATGTATCAATAGCTATAATGTTCCTCTCACTTATGAGAAGATAATATAAGTATTGTTTCCTCTATGCAGATTGCAATTTCTTCATCCTTTTGGTATTGTTACTGAATCTGTGTTACCATGCTTCAATCTTCTAAGACAATTTTCTCCATCCATCTCCCACAAGCCTTTTACGCTTTCAGTAGTCTTCCTGTTTTTCAAGCCCAGCTTTGATAATACTTGTTGCTGCCATCATCCTATAGAAGCAGTTGTTCTACAACTGATCTGCTCAATTCTTTCTTGCAATCTGATTTTGTTGCAGTACTTCATCCATCTGGCTAAGGCTCACTAATATTCTGTGTTCCTCTGCTTATCCAACACACTCTTTCATAGTAGTGTCCTTTTTAAAAATGCTTGTGTTATAATTTCTGCTCTTTAGTTCTAACCTTTTACTTTCTTCTATACATAACTTCTGTATTGACTGGATATGCAATTGAATTTGCCTTGGTAGACTGGTCTTGAATCTAGTTCAGAAACAATGTGTGTGCAAATGCCACGAGTACAAAAACTAGGACTTTGTGAAGTTGT